TATTCTCTCGCTCTCTCTTTATCCATCTGCACATACATAAACACATTATTAAAAAATTTTTTTGTTATTTCACAGATCACATCCGTCAAGATGATCCCGAAGCACTTTGGACTAAAATACAGTGAAGAGTCGTATATGCTTAAAGAGCTTGAGAAGATTCGCAAGGAGACTAAAACAGAATTTCTCCAATTCAAGCAGAGACTGGCCTACAAGCCCACCTTAGAGGAAGGTCTGGGCCACAGATCCCACGATGTCTGCCAGACCAGCCCTGGGCAGAGAAAGCATATTTTCCACATTGGCTCCCGGAAGTCATATGGATCCCTCCCTCCAGCTAAAGGCTCTGAGACCCTCCCTGTGGCCCTCCAGAAGGAGGCGCCCCAAGGCTCAGCGCCCTCCAAGGGCGCAAGTGGGGCTGTTCGTTCCTGGGAAAGCCGGCCATTTCACCCTCAGGGCTTTTACATGCGGAGCTCGGCGTTCCTCCGGCACCGGCCCCTGAAGCAGCCACCGGTCATCGCCCCTGGGGCCGGCACATCGAGGCGCGCGGTCCTCCTGCCACCCCCAGCGCCCCCGCAGAAGCCCAGGGTGCACCAGGTGCTGGGGAGTCTGCGGCCTGAGGCTTCCAGGCCTGTCCTTGACCTGGCCCGGGAGTGCAACGCGACCCTGGCATTAACTGCGTTGTCTGACGTCTGCAAAGTCAAAGATCGGAAGGTCAGCTCCGCATCCAGTGAGGGCAGCGACACCCCATGCTTGAGCAAGCGGAGGAGAGTGAAGATTCGCACCCACCGCTTGTTGGAGGGCTCCATCTGTGAGGGCCGGGAGGCTCTCCGCTTAGACCTGTCTAAAACAACCCGGGAGAGAGCTGCGCAGAGCGACCGAGACCAGCTGCCTGTGCGGGTGATCCCCACATCTATAGAGGAGATTATCGCTTCGCTGCAGTCCGAGGCCCAACTGGCTACGGACCAGACCATCAAAGAGCTCATACAGAGTGTCCTTGGCCAGAACTACGACATTAAAATGGAAGTAGGTGAACTGGATGAGGGTAATAAGTCTCTTGGGTAAATGCTACTTTGCTGTTCTTGTTGTTAGGTGCCTTCGGTTCCGACTCATAGTTACTCTAGGGTTTCTGAGACTGAATCTTTATGGGAGCAGAAAACCACCTCATAACTGGTGCGTTTAAACAGGCGACCCTGTAGTTAGCAGTTCAGTGCTTATCTTACAGTATCACCACTGCTCTAAAATATATGGTGGTGGTTGTGTGCCATGGAGTCTCACTCATAGCTA